TCGATAGGATTTGAACACCCAACCTACCACTTGGAGGGTTGACAACCTGACCACTTCACTAGGTCACCACACCCTTTATAAATATATTTTATAAATCTTAAATATTAAATATATTTATTAATAATTAACTCTTTCTGCTAATCTTTAGTTTCAAAGCAGAGCAAAAAACAAAATATAAAATATAACCAAAACAGAATAGCAAACAGTCTTTGGGCCCTTAAGAAAAAATTGTTTATATTCAAGAATATATAAATAATAATAAAAGTATAATAGTAAAAAATATATTTCTAACAAACTAAACTTGCTTTAAGGAAATTTTTTTTTTTAGTATAAAACTTACAAGTGTAAAGAAGTATGATTGATTCTAAAAAACAAAAAGAAAACATATAACTGACTAAACAACAACAAACAACAAAGTTATACTCTTAATTAGAAAATAGATAGATAAATTAGTAGTCGATAGTAACATAATACAGGATGTACATGAACAACTTAAACAAGAAATAGTGCAGTATAGAAGTCTAATGAATAGATCAAATAGATCAGGTCAATGACATAAACATTATATATTACATTAAAAGAGCAGGTTATAAAAATCAAAGGTATTTAAATTTTGAATTGTTGGATCAAATTCTAACAACATCTGCAAAAAAAGGGTACTCTTATGTTCTGCAAATCCAGATCTCGAGATCGACTCCCAGAGCAAAGACCTTGTATAACACAAAACTTGTCTCAATATAAAACCTTTTACCCCTTGCTTCGTCTTTATAGTAATATAATATTGATATTTAGATACATACATGCGTATGTATGTACGTATAGTACAAAAGATCTATTTATATAAACTTTAAAGTTTTATGGTACAATATTTTGTCCCAAGGCTTAGTTACAACTAAAAAAAAAAAATTATAAAGAGATGTCAACAAAAAAAAAAGAAAAAAAAGGTAGTTTTAACATTTTATGTCTTTATTAAAGATATCTTCTTACTATTATTATTGTTAAAAAATTATAGTGTCTTAAAAAAAATATCATATATTTCTTCTAATTTAATAACAATATCTTTTTTTTTTCTAAAGGTATTTTATTTAAGTCGATTTGTTGATGAAGATTTCCTATTCGCACTAACTATTGATCTATATGACAATTTATTTCATTTATCTGTTTTTCTATATTATTAATAATGATAATATTATTATCAACCTGCTTATTATAAGTTTGAATATCATTATTATTAGCAAGCATGTAGATTGTTTGCTCTGGCATTTTAATGCTGTATTTTCGAGAAACCACACAAATATGCTTACAAGGTTCTGGATTTCTTAAATATGCTTTACAATTGCAAATTAGAGTTAATTTATCATTTTCGGTTTTTTGAATTGTGTAATCACTCTCACCTTCGGTCAACCTAATGATAAATATAGATTCATCTAAATGAAAAATAGAACTTTCATCAATACTAGTTGAATTTATTTCAAATCTTCGCATGATTTTTTGGTGAGGACCCATTTTTCCAATTCTTATTTCATATTGAATAATTTCTTCTTGATAATCGGGCAATATTTTTAAGGCTAATTCATGAATAAGATAATCAATTCACCGGTTAACACATATCATAAGATAGAGATATTTGATTTTTTTGTAGTAAGCCTCTATATAGTTATTTGTATTAATTCCCTGAACTTTATCATGACAATAACATTCTATCCACATTTCTAAATTTATGATATTATATCATTATAGATTATAAAATATCTAATAATAAATTGTAATGTAAAAAAAAATAAATAAATTAAAAAAAAAACCTTTTTTGCGTTGATATTAAGAATTAAAATACTGCAATGCAGAAATGTTTTGTCATTTTTGTTCAAACTGGACTAGAGCAGAATTTATTCTGTTTATATCTTTAGTATGGAGTAGCTGTTCAAGGTCATAATACAAATTATTATGTTTATTTTTTTCTATTTTTTTAAAGATCCACCGGAGCCAAGCATGTTTAATGTGCCACTAGCACAAAAAAACATTTGATGTAGAAAAAACCTCATGAATGGCATTTATTTCTGCATCATCATTGTCTAATATTACATTTACTGGATCTATCCATCTTTCTGATTTTAATGCATAAAGCCATGCCCCAATTGATATACTATCACTGGATTCTGTTAGTAGCCATGCTAATAGAACACCACAGCCACTATAGGGATAATGGATCAAAATTGTAAATAATGTATATTTATAGCAATTCATGTTGTGTGTAGAGTCTATATGAATAATTTAAAAAATAGGTATATAGTTAAAATCATTATTGAAATAATTAAATTTAAAATTAATGTATAAATTTTATTTTTTAGAACAAATTAACTATGAAGCTAAGAACTGATTTTATATAGTTTTTAATACATATGTTTGAAAAAATTATAATTTTTCAAATAAAAAAAAAGGTATCTCATGATGTTTGCAGTAAAGTTTGAATTGCCATGAGGTGTAGAACCCAAGTTGAAACTTTTGATTACCATCAGAAACTTGAAACAATGAAAGGATGAGGTTATTTAAATTGTTAGGTATGTTTTTATTTTCTCTTAAAATATCAGCCCATTGTTGAATGCTTTTCATGTCATAATCATTGTATTGATACTTCATATAAATTTCCTTATATATAATATTATATATATCTTCATATGTTAACAATTCATCTCTGTTTAGAACAATATCACTAGAGATAAAATAACTAAATATACGATTCATAATTATTATAAAATAAAGATAAAAAAAAAAAAAAAGGGAAAAAAAGAAAACCTTTCAGTTACTTCTGTAGGTTTTTTCATTAACCGGCAGATGGCTGAGAAAGATAGTCCTTGCTGTGCAAATTTTTTAATTTCAGTAATAATTTCTTCTGATTTTCTTAAATATTTAACATCAGCATGACTACTAGGCACATACCTATTATGCTTATACTAATAATGTATTACAACTACTTCAGGAAAATTGGTCAGATTATAATGAACTCGTAAGGTACAATCACAACCAACTTTTTTGGATTCTTTTTAAATTTGTTGTTTTTTGTTTGAATTTCCTCCTTCTACATGATCATTTCGTATACATTTATTACCTGCACGTGAGCAACAATAGTATTCGGACCAAGAACCTTTTTTATTTTTATTTATATAAGTTCCATGTTTTTTTATAAAATTAATGTTTTTAGACTTTTCTTCTTCTTTTATCCAATCATGATAGGCAAGAAGAGGTAATGCAAATTTAATAAAATCATCTTTTTCTTCAAGAACGTATAATAATCGTGTATTAGAAGAGGTTTGGACATGATTAATGAGTGTATTTATGATTTCTTGTGTTCTAATATTACTGTTATTAGGTTCAGCTTTGATTACTTCTTATTGCGAAGTTTCTATAACTGGGTTGTCACTGTTATTCATCATAGCAAGATCAGAATTATTTGTTATTATTTGTGGGTTGATATTGTCTTTCATTTTTTTGTAATTTGTGTTTTTTTTTTTTTTTGATTTGAATGTACTTTGAAATATTAACGAAATTCAAAGCAAACAATGAACTTTATATAAGGTGTATGATTTTTATAGAATTTGACAAACCAATTAGCAACAATTAATAAATTTTAGATGATTTAAGGTAAGCAAACAAAACTTCGAGCTATTAATACTCAAATTTAAGATATTTTTTATTAACATGCCTTTTTTATAATATTTATAAAATTTTTTATTTTATTTAATTTATCCTTTTAAAATCAAGAAAGAATTATGAAATCTTATTGTAATGGTAGGCTTGGGCTTTAGAATGGGAAGTTTTTAGTCTTTTTTTTTCTTTTTCTTGTTTAATTTTATTCATTTCGATGGTTCTTTTTTTTAACTTATTTTTTTGCTGTATGAATTTGAAGATTACTAGTTTTATTTTAAATTTTCACATTCTTTACATTCTTTGCATAACCTCTGGTACAGTCTATCTTTTTTTAGTATTATTATATATCTTCATATCTGTAACTTAGACTGACTATGAATTTCATTAGTTTACTTATTTGGCTAGTCTGAACAATTGGCATTAGAACACAGAAGCAAGATTATACACACTGCGATTTCTAGATCACAATAACAATGCAAGAACCAAATTCATTATGTTTTAAGTTAACATCGGCCTAAAGTGGCTTTTACCGAAATTAGCTCCTGAATTAGATCATCTTGCATGCATTAACTAGTAATTCTAAGCAGATGTAATTTTTTTAGGTGCATAAAGTTACAACTTTAGGCAGATGTTAACTTCAGGCATGACATAAGTATATTTTTCTTTTTTGAATTTATTTCATAGTTTTTTTTTTTATTTTTTATGCTTGACTATGAGTGAAATTATAGAATTTGTGCTACAGTAAAACCTCCATAAGTGCACGCCCTTGGGACTAAATTTTAACAGCATGCATTTAGTGAACTACAAGAAAAAGTGCATTTATGAAAGTTATATGTATATTTAGACCCAAATTTGAGTGTGCATTTAGAGAGAGTTTCACTGTAGTTTAATGTTGCATACAGGATGTTAAAATTAGATCAAAGTTGAGAATTAATCGAACAAGATAGAATACTCGAAAACAGAATAGGATAGTACAAGTTCAAAAGATTCATCATAAACGACACTGTTTGCTTTTATGTTAAAGATTCGATAAGTTCTTTATATATCTAGTTTCGAATTTTTTTACTTTCAAAAGGACAAACGATTAAAGTATGATTGAATACAAAACTATGAGATTTTAGTTTTATATTAAACTATTGTATCGCATTGATTAGATTTTTTTTATGTCTCTAGTTAAAATACTCGAGTGAAAGCTATAGGAGTTCTATTAATTGTAAGCAGCTCTTTTTAAAGTTTTAGAATGCGTATAAATTTGAAATTTTTCTAGTTCGTAACATAAAATATACCTGTGCATTTTATAAAGGTTTTTGGTTGGATATTTGTTTTAGATTCCAGGTTTTTCAATCAGTGTGGTATGTTAAAACTTATTGTTTAAAGAAATTAATAAATCTTTTGTAACATATTTAAAGTCAATTATAAGTCGATTAAATAAAATTTAATACTCGTGTTTATTATAATTTAATATATTATACCGTTTAGAAACTTTAACAGCGGATTATTGCATACAATATTACCATCTTGTTATATTTAAATATTTTTAAGATACACGGACCTTAGAGATAGCAAAGATACTTAAAATTTTGTTTGCAAAGAGTTTTTCTAGTACGTAAATAATTCAATTTTATAATTGACCAATCACAAGAAGGGGATCGGCGGCTCTGGATGTCGATTCCTAGGTCCGGATTTGCAGGACATAAGGGTACCCACCCACTACATATATATGTTTTCTTTTTTTCTATATTAAACGCCAATTTTTTGAACTCATATAAACTTTAACCCTTATAACTTTTTAAAACAAAGAATAAAAACAATCCTCTGACAGAAATGTAGTTTATCAAAAAATCTACCCAATTTGTCAGAAGGTTTTTGATTTGGCTTGTTTTAAAAGTTATAAAAGTTTTTATTAATAAACATTGGATTTACTGTCCGGTACTGTACAAAATTTAATTTGATTATCCAGAGTCAAATTTTTTTTATTGTGAGAGCATTGTAAGCTTTTTAAGTGCCTAAACATAATAAATTAAACATTAAATTTTACTGCCAAAAGCTATAACAATTTGATTATTTACATTTTTCATTTTATCGATACGTACATTACATTATATTTTCTCTTAATCTTCAAATAAAAACATTTATTTGTTTAAAAAGCAAAAAAAATTTATCCACTTTGGACAGCTATGCTTGTAATAAAAGCAATAAAATTTCTATCTACATGATATTGAATTAATTTGAGAAGCCATCAAATATGCTATATCTCGAAAGTATATAAATTAAATTTTTACAAACAATAAATAAATGATGGATGCTTGTCTCCCAAAATCATGGCCTCCTCTTTATTTTTTCCTTTTAAAAATCGATCTGGATCGTTAATTTTAAGCTTATTGGCTCTATCTAATAAGTAACCTTGGATTATTGATATGATTATAGCAACAGTTACAATAGATATCGCAATAGAATTTCCAAACTTATAGGCTGGCGCATCTTGAGGTTGATATAATTGTGAGGCTACTAATCCACCAACATTGCCACTGGCTATTATAATTGCACTACCTACAGCGCGTTTCAAGTCGCCTGCTAAATTGTTCGTTAACCTTTTTGAAAGGTTTAGAGAGTGAGGATGAAAAATAGATTGAAAAATCATACTTGTATAGAGATACTAGAATCTTACCACGTTATTGATAAAGGAACACATGAAAACATTCCCATTCCAACAATACAAGCACCAATGTATCTTACTAAAGTATAAATTATTATTAACTTTAACGGTTTAAGCCAAAAATATGCATATATAATTTAAAATTTGTAGATAAACTTACTAGCAATACTAGAACTTGCAACAATAAGTAATAGATAACCTACCAATGCTACCAATAAACAAAGTATCAAAATTCGTCCACGAACACCGTATCGATCAGATAATATTGAAACCATAATCATTGTAAAACATCCAAAGACATATGGTGGAACAGAAAGAAGTTGAGAAATAACTAAAAAAAAAAGGTATAATTATTGTTTGTAAACAATAATTAAGGAACATTATAAACGAAAGTTAAACATACCAGGATCAAATCCCAAACCATTTACAATCGCTGGAAGAAAGAAAGAGAATGCATATCCGGTAATTGTCACAGTAAATTGTATAAGTGAAAATATGTGGACTTTCTGATGAGTAGAATAATAAAAAAATTAAGAGGATTAAATGATTTTAACCTATTTACACGTAATATCTGTGAACCTACCCAATCTTTAAAAGCTTCGAAAATCTGAGATTTATCAAAATCTGTTGTGATGGTATTAATGTGTCCTGAATCAAGCTGTAAACGATTAATAACTATCTTTCGTTCATCCTCTGTAAGCCAAGTGGTAGTTTCCGGATAACTTGAAATTAAAAAATAAGAGAAAAGCGCAATAAAAACTGTTGCCAGACCATCAATAATAAAAATCTAAATTTAATTATAAAAAAAGTTTTAAATGGGATGAATCTATCATTTTTAAAGAATCCATAAATGCAAAGAATTTATATGTACCCATTGCCAGCCACTCAATCCAAATTTGCCATCCAAACCCATAATAGCGAATGCCAAAAGTCCACTAAACGCACCAGCAATCATGGCACCAGCGAAAAACAAACCAATTCGATAAGTTTGTTCGGATTTCTTATACCATTTTGTAATATAATATACGACACCAGGAAAAAGACCAGCTTCAAAAACACCTAATAACAATCTCGTTGCCACTAATTGAGGGTAATTTTTCACCTTAAACAAGAATAATAATTAAGAATAAATAATTACTACGGTTAGAAGAGAAACTATTTAATACGATACTTACGAATGACATAGCCACCATTACGACACCCCATCCAACCATGAGTGATGCAACTAATAAATTAGAAATGAGAAAAGATATAATACTAATGTTTAAAATTTTAAAAGAATCAACTTACTCCAAATTGAAGGTTTGACTTTGACTAATATGATATTGGATGGAACTTCGAATATTACATAACTCCTATAAGGAAATAAAAGTTTAATCAAAAAAAGGCGAAAGAGATCATTTGATACTAGGAAAAAAAAAATCTAAAGACATACGTACACAAAAAATAGACCTAAAGACCAATTATATTGATCTCCAGTTAAACCAAGATCACGTTCCAAGTGAGCGAGTTTTGCGTTTCCAATATTAACCCTAACAAAAAGGATACCAATCAATAAGTTAAAATTACGAAACTAATAAATAACTTAAATACCTATCCAAGAAACAAAGGGTATAGAGAAGTGTAAATAAAGGAATGATTCTTAAATCAATCTTCCTTAATAATTTTTTTTCATCGACATTGGTTACTATTTCGGTTGTTTCTTCCATAATATTATTTAAATCGTTTACGTTACGTATTTTATGTAAAGTTTTAAAGGATCAAAACTAAATGCATTCGCGAAAATAATCTTGTCTCTTTAAAGTGAAGCAAATTCTTAAAACAAACAATTCATTATGATAACCAAAACAAGAATAATGTACATACGTAAAAGTTACTGTTACGTCAAGCTGATTTTTTCTTCTTACTATTACTGTTATATGTAATTATGTAATTATTTGAATAGAGCATTTCTTCCTTACATATGATATTATGATAAGCGATAGGCCTAAACTTACTAGTGGAACAATAAAGCTTAACTTATTAGTGGAACATGAAATTTTCTTATGAAACCAACTCGGACTTCCCGTATAAGATTGAATTTTAATCCTCTGGAATCTATAAATTTTGCTCACAATTGTACTAATGAAGTCATAGCAATACCCACATAACTCTCATAACCATAGAAAAATTAATTGCAAATCAATGATGAAATAATTCAATTTATTTCACTATATTGTGTAGAGTCTGCTTACCCCGACTTTTTAAACAGCGAAAAACAAAAAAAAATCACATTTATTTACTATGATTAATAAATAATCTTAACGGAGAATATACGATGTGTAGTCTAATTACGTAAATTATAATTAATCGCCCCTACGATCAATTATTCGGTAGGACTGTTCTACCAGGCATTGCGATTATATACTATGTAATAATAAAATGGCAGGCCGGAGCTAGAGTGTCCAGCATATAAAATAGCACTAACGATATTACAAGATAACAAATTCGATCAAATAAAATAAGAAAAATTTTATCGATTTTAATTTGGCTGTTTTCGTGATATCTCTAGTGCTATTTTAGATGCTAGAAATAGCTGGACACTCTGGCAGGAGCCTTATGTATCAGGTTCTATGATAATTTGCATCAATAAATAAGCAAAATAGTTTTGCCATGATAGATGTAATATTATTCATCTTTAATGTTTTTGATATAATTGCTACTCCCATTGTTGTCTGACTTTTATTTTCAAATTGTTCTAGCTCTATATCTTTTTATTCATACTTTTCATTTAAACGACTTAAGTATTTAATTTTGCTACTTTCGGATAAATTAACAGTTTTTATAAATGACAACGAACAGTGTGTTGAAATAGATTGCATAGGATAATTAGATACTATTTTTACGAACATATAGTAAAGGGACACCATTTATGTATAGTGGACATTTTTGCCAGCTCACTGGTTTTGTTATTAAACACTAACACCATATAGCAAATTTAATATTACTGACGGTTAGGGCTGTTAAAAGTCCGTCCGGACTCCTCAAATAGAGACTTTGATCAGGACTCGATCCTTAAGTCGATTCTTGAGTCAAGTTTGCATATGATAACACTATTGTTATGTATTCAAAAAATAATTATCATTGTTAAACTTATTAAAAATTAATTATATTTTTATTTTACATTTACTTTCAAAACTTCTACTTTAGATCAATTTTTTATATATTGAGTGGTTTTTATAGATTTTTCAAGATTATTTCTTATAAGATTTATTGTATGTTTTGTTATAGAAAAGCATGCTCATATGGAACACTTGTAGCTTGCAGTATAAAGTAGTTTGCTATCATTAAATTTTATTTGAAAAATAGCAAGTTTTATTTTCTATTACAACAATAGTTTAATATATAGTTTTAAGATTAATAAAAGATAGTTTACTAATTTATTTGATGAAACTTGATTACCTTAATTTGATTTTTTCAAATTCTTAAAATATTTAATGGATCTTTTTTTAGTTCTATTATTTTTTTATTTATAAACTGAAATAAATAAGAAATCTTTAAATGTTTAATAATTATTTAATTAAAAAATTTCAAATTTAGTAAATAGATTAAGTAAGATTAAAATAGTCAAGAATTTTAAAAACAAAGATTAGTATTTTATTAATTTTTTTTTTGATGTTAAGATGATCTCTTTGGTCTTTTGATTTTTATTAATGCCTTTTTTGATAATGTAATTCAATAAATTACTACAGAAGAGCATACAATTGGTTACATGTATAACTTTTCTATATTACCTATTTAAGAAGTCTACCTGAAAGTTTTCTACCAATCATTATATCTAACATTTTTGCTTAGGTGTTTTACTTTAAACCCTCTGAACCTATAACATGTGTTAATATCACTGGGTTATACCCAAATGCTTAGATTATCATTTAAACCTTAGAACTATTTTATCCTTAAGATAAACTTCTCAGAGTTTTTTGTATTTATTTTTATAGTTGATTCAATATTACTATAAAAGAACTAACACTTGTAATATAAAAATATTTCTTCTCATCTAACCATTACTTCATTACTTACTGGACTTCTAATATAGATTTTAATTATTTAAAATTCTATCCTTTACCTTTAGCTAAATATAAATGATATACAGAATGTCATTTTAATTCTTACAAAATTAACCAAACTTATACTGTTGAAGTTTCTGTAATTATTTTAATATAATTTCTTGACAGAACTAATTCCAAATACCAACTCAATCTTAATATAAATTACTTGGACCTTATCTGCTCTACAACTGTTAAGCATCCAACCTATATTTCTTCTTTATCTATAATTCTTATTTCTAATTCAATCCCTTCTGAAATTTTTATTTCAAGTAAAACTACTAACAAACTTATATCTATCTCTCAATTTAACTACTCTTACTAACAACTATTCTTTTATACTGATGGCTCAGTAATCAATATTGGTACTGATTAATATACAATGGGTATTAGTTGGATTCAAGCTGATAATAATAATCAAACTATTATTTCTTTTTTTGTTAAAATACAATTCTGTACCTCTTTATATAAAACTGAGTTTTTCTCAATTATTACTATAATCTCAATAGCTTCATACAACTCAGTAGTCAATATTTTTACTGATTCTCAATCAGTAATTTCCAAATTTAATAACCTTCAATATTATTTAAATCATTCTAATAAACTATTCAAATTCAACTTATAACCTATTTGGTACACTCTTTCTAATATTATTAAATCACACAAATTACAAGTTATCTTTCACAAAGTGCAAGTTTATTTAAATAATAATCTTAATGAATAACAAACTCTTTTGTCAAACAATATCCATCATCACCATTTCTTTCATTTAATTACACAAACCTTTATAATCCTTATTATATTCTTCAATAAAAGCAACATTATGTAAAACTTTCTACAAGATATTTTATTAAGCAAATATATAAAACCCATATATTAGCTATATGAATATCTCAAAAACATAATAGTAAGTATTTATACTTTAATCAAGATATTAACTAAAGATCCATTTAGCTTTATTTTAATTATAATCAAAAACTCTTATACAATATTACTAATTTTAGACTCAATCAACTAAAATTCTTTAAAATCAAAATTCTTTTTAATGAATTACCAATATATCAACTATTTCATACTATTTATTCAGACCAATATCCAAATATTAATTACTTTTATTATAATCTAGCTAACTCTCACTCTTATTGGCATACTTAGATTAATACACTTTTACTTAACCAAATTACCTGATCTTGATACTTATCAAAAAAATAATCTAATTCATAAAATCCTTTATTATCTAGCTTTCAATTCTTTATACATCTTACCTAACATATTTTATTCTAATCTTACTCTTAAAGAACTTATTTCAAAGTTACTCATATCAACAGTTCAAAACTTTGACATATTATACAAAACTATTATCAATATTCTTCTTAATATTAATGAACAATCATATGAACAATTATAGAAAACATATTGTATTTATTTCTCTAACTAAAAAAAACAACAAAATAGACCTTAATCTCAACCAATCAACAAATCTTTAATATTATCTAACTCAGCAACTAGACATACATGTTTTCATAAAAACTATACTTACTTATATTTCTGTGAACTTTCAGATCAATTATATATTTATTCTAACATATGTCCTCCTATTGGTCAAACAATTTGTAAAATTAACATTTGGTCTATTTTATAGATCAAATATAGCATATTATCAAATTATATACTAAACATTCAAATTTAGATGAGCTTTGACCACTTTAGTAGGTTTATATCACAGATAAATTAGTCTAAGCTTTTATTTTTATATGTAATTTTTAATTTATTTGTTTTGTACAAATAATAGTATCTGTATAATTAGTAGTTTAATAGTTAGCCCTAACTGCAAATATTGGCTTTGGTTATAACATATATATATATAACTATTTTAAATTATTAATAAAGATATAAGCAAGAGCTCATTTTTTTTAAAAAAAAAAACCAACACTTATAATTAGAATTTAATTATTAAACTGCTATGCTTCTGTAGAGTTTACACAGATCCCAGTATCTACTTTACAGCATAACCTCAGTATTTTAGTATACTTTTGTCTTTTTATTTACTTTTTATTAGATTTTCAATTCAGATAGTCTATATAAGATTACGATCAGTCTATTGGTATATCAGGTTAATTCAATATTCTTTTTCTCTAATTCATTTTAGTGGCCTGGTTGATAATATTTCTAAGTCTTCTCCAATCTGAAAGTTTTTGTCCATCTGTTACTATGACCAGGTACTATAATCTTGGTATTTATTTTTTTAAACTAGTCTTTACAGTATTGTTATTAAAGATTTAGCTATCTTTCTACTTGGGTCTTCTTAAATGAACTTTTTGTTATCTAATTTTAACAGATTTATATAATTATAAGAACTTATCTAGTGTTTGCACTATTTGATTTGTTTGTATTTTTTTGTATAATGTTATATTTAGACAAATACTCTATAATCTGCCAGTCATGCT